CCAGGTGGCCTCTACACTGCATCAATCTGCATCTGGGCTAATGTGGTCAGCAGGAAGAGCCATGACCCCGCCAACCTCGAAGAAAAAGAGATATGGCTTGGGGGGCTAGGACAGGGCTGCCTCACTCATTGATGAATTTGTTTTCAAATAAGTCTCAGAGAGTAGGGGATGGAGCTCCATGGCAAATTTTAAACCTACACTCAGGTAGACAGAAAAATATATTGAACTCTCCAAATACTCACCCGCCAGCCCCAGCTGTTCCTAACTCGTCGGTCCTCTACCCCTACACTGGGCCACTGCCTCCTCAGTCTGGATTATTTTGAAGCAACTGCCAGGCACCAGTATCAGCTCATCCAAAGTGTTTCAGGAAGTACTCTCCAAGAGGCAGAGAGTTAGACCTAACTAGCAATAACTGAACTCCCATGAACGTGGCCAAAGAAATCCGCACCACTTTCTTAACATTACCAAATGGCAGCTCTGGATTCAAGCTTCCCCAATGGTCTTTTAAATTTTCTCCCACATGTGTGTTTATTGGAAATGGGATTTAAATATGATCTACACATTGCAATTCATTGATATTGTTTAACTGCTTCCTCCCTCTACTGTTTCTCTCTCTCTCTCTCTCTCTCTCTCTCTCTCTCTCTCTCTCTGTGTCTCTGTCTGTCTCTCTGTCTCTCTCTCCCTCCCCACTACTGGCTGCAGTTTGGTTGTTAAGAAACTGTGGTTGCATCCTGTTTGGATTTTGTGGATTGTATCTGCATGGGGTTGTCGAACTGGCTCCCCCCTCTCCCATGCTCCCTGTAAATTGGTAATTCCATTAAGAGACAGGCATAGAGTCAAACTGCATCACCTCAGAACCTCTTTGCAGCCAAACAGCACAGGACCTAATCCCAAACCATTTCCTTGAATAAATGAGAAAACTCCAATCTGCAGTGACCTACAGAGGCTCTTCCTGTGAGACTCTCCTAGAAACAGCCCGAGCTAGCACGGAGGAACGCTGAAAGCTGCCCACAGGGTAACCGTATGTGCCACCAAGATGTTTCCATGGAAACACATACTTTCTGATGCCAAAACTGGTCTTCACAAGTCTTTGGGGGCAGTAAGGGAATGGAGCTGGACCCATGGTCAGCGTCACAGTACTTGCTAACCAGGGAAGTATGGCTTTCCTTGCGAGCATGCCAGGAAAGGAGGAAGGATGTACTTAGGAAGACTGATGTTCGTTCAGTTGATGTGGAAGGTGTGCCCATGGGAGAATTTATTATGTAGCTGAGTGGGGTTTTGGTTTTGTTTGCTTTTTAATTTTTTAAAAGTATTTATTTATTTATGTATTGCAGTACTGGGGACTGAACTTGGGACTTTGTGCTTGCTAGACAGGCACTTATGCCACTGAGCTGTATCCCTGGCCTCTGTTTGCCTTTTTAGCACTGGAGATTTAGGGATGGAACCCAATTGCATGCATCACTAGGCAAGGAAGGGCTCTACCACTGCTGCACCCCTAGCCTGAAGATAGCTTAGTCTCAAATACTAAATGTTAATTTATTGGATTAAATCACCTGCAAGCAGGCACAAGAGCCCAGGATTCGATTCCTGAGCCTGCCGTGCTGGCCCCATCCCCAGGGTGCACTGAGGCAGCAATTGAGACTGGGCATAGTGGTGCGCGCCTGTAATCCCAGCTCTTGGGAGGCTGTAAACAGGCAGATCACTATGAGTCCGATTTAGTAGTGAGACCCTGAACACCCTGTAGACCCTTCCCTAAAATACAAAAATAAATAAATATTAATTTATGAAAGCACATATTAGAACTTTTTAAAATAAAATTGCTGGGCTTGGGAGATAGCTCAGTACGGCATGTCGTGCTGGTCCTGAAACCAGGCATTTAATCCCAGCACTGGGACTCTAATCCACATCCTCCAGTCCCCACTCTGCTTGCCTCCATCAGCTGCTTTGCACCTGGCCCAAGCTTGCTCAGGCCTTCCCTTGTGTGAGTGTCCCAGACTCTAAACCAGGGCTGCCCAGCTCTCATGATGGGACCAGCCCCATGGTACTTATAGCTGATTGGCTCACTGATACCCATGTGATCCATGGATGGCCAATCAGAGTCCATGTTTTAGAAATTGTTTTTCTCTAAGAGAAAGGAAAAGGAGCCCAATTGGCTGTGGTAAGCCAAGCTGGAAGGTTGTCCCATGATATAGCCTTTTGGGTCACACAGGAAAGCTGACTAACAGAACAAAGGGACTTCAACAGAAACAGATAAACACCCTGGAAACTGAGTAAGAAGTGCTCCATGTCATCCATAGCTCTGGATTCTGGGACCCAGTGCAAGAAGACAGGGACAGAGGGGTGGTGTGAGCAGGGACTGAGCTGCCTTACACAGGTAGCAGATCTGAGCCTCTGAATGTTACAGCACCCTGAAAGCCTGGACTAAGCAGAAAGAAGTGGGAGAGAAGGGGTGTGCTCCCCAGACACCTCTGCTCCAACGGGAAAGCCCAGCTCTTCACTGGCATTTTACCATTGTCCGGGAGAAACTTGTATTTGAACCTGACCGAAACGCAGTCACTCCAAGCCCTGGGGACCTGGCAGCCTATTTCAAGGTACTGCCTAGAAAGCATTTGGCAGGGTGCTTCCTGATATACCTTGTCATGGAATCCAGCTCAGAAAACTAATGGAGACAAAGGGCCTGCGGGCATCAAAGTAGGCCTAGGTACTAGCCACCCCTCTGTCCTCACCAAACTGCAGGACAGAAGGACACACACGCAGCCATCCGTGGGTGAGCCGACCTTGCTGGGGTGTGAGTCAGCAGGAGCTCGGGACCATTAGTCCTGATCTGCCAGCTTCACTAGATTAGCAAGCACCTAGCAATGACTGCAGCCTGCTCCTGGTGTGTCTGGACCAGTCATGGAAGCACAGCTGTGGGCACTGCGTCTGGTGTGTCCCTTCCTCTGCAGCACTGGCCGTTCCCCGCTGCCAGGAACTGAGCAACTTCCCTCCTCCGCCCTCTTCTGCTGGCATGGTTCTGCCATGGACTGGCTCCCATGAAGCCGTGAGCCAGAAGTGCCCTCGACTTCCTTGAACTGTGTCAGGTGCTGTGGCTCCTCAGTGGCCCAGGTCCTGACCGTGTGCCCGTGTGCCCCCAGATGCCTTGGATCCCCAAGGGCCTGTCCACCACCCCCTTGGGACTCTGGCCATAGGGCTGCAACCTGGCTGCCAGGCACTTCCAGTCTTGCTGCTGCTGCTGCTGACTTGCTGTGGCTTCACTGTCCTCACATGTGGTGTGATATTGGCAGCCTTGGTAAGGGCTTGGGGGCTTAAAGCAGAGCGACCCCAGGAGCCCAAGGCTTCCCTGCCCGGGCCCGGGTCCTGGCCAGCACAGATGTGGGGACACCATTTCTCTATAACCACCCAGGGGCTCATAGATTGTGACACTTCTAGGATTTTAATTTAAAGGAATAATGAGGGCTGGGCATCCGGATTCTGCCACAGCACCACTTACTACAGTGCGGACTACAAAACAGCATGAAGCCGACATTTCCTGGAGTCAGTGGCTGCTGTTGGCCCTCTGATGCTCAGCCCCCCTTTTTCCTTGCTGAGCCTATTTATTATAGGTGCAGACTTGGCTTTATTTTTATGGTGTAGGGATTGAACCCAAGGCCTTGCCCATGCTGGGCAAGTGTTCTACCACTGAGCTACATCCTTAGCCTCAGAACTGACTTAAAAAAAAATTTTTTTTTCCAGCTTGCCTTGCAGGAAGTAATGATATGACCTGGCTTTAACCAGTGAAATTAAGCAATAAAATTCAGATGGGCTTCAAGGAAGCTTTATAAAAGGAGGGCAGGCGTGGCCAGAATGTACCCTATGTCACTTGTCTCTCTCCTTCCTTCCACCTGAACTGTGAATTGAATTGTGATGACTGGACCTCTGGCAGTCATCTTGACAGGTGGTGGAATACAAAGCTAAAGCCATGAAGGCGCTTCAAACTTCCTTTACACAAGGCCAAATAGACTTCTTTTGTGTTAAGCTGTGCTAGTTGAGTTTTTATTAGAAACTGCCAACTTCAGTCCCCAATGCTACAATATCCAAACATCCAACAATAGGAGTATCATTAATGAATCACTGTCCAGGGCTTTTGAGATAGCTCAGTGGACTAAGTGCCTGCTTAAGCAAGTGCAGGGACCTTGGTTCAATCCCTGGCACCACATGCCACACTGGCCCCACCCCTAGGCCCTGTGAGCCAGCCACCAAGTCTAGGGCATGGTGGTCCACGCCTATAATCCTAGCTCTGGGAAGGCTGAGACAGGAGGATCACTACGAGTCCGAGCTGTGTAGTGAGACCCTGTACCAAATACAAAATCAGTCACCATCCAGTCACACTGTAGAATCTTACAGCCTTGCAATAATTGTGTTCAAAAAGACCTAGTAGCATACAGAGGTGTTTACGATGAACTAAGTAAGTCACAAGACAGAATGTACAATAAGCTTTGTTTTAGAAAGGAAAACATGCATAAAAGTGGAGGAAACAGAATGCATTAAACTTCTCTGGATGGTGACGACACAGTGACCTTTTTCTTCATTTTCTTCCTTTCTTTCTTCTTCCTTCCCCTGCAACCCCATCTCTTCTTTTCTTCCTTTTTCTGCCATACTGGGATTGAACCCAGGGCCTTACTCACTTGAGCAAAATCCTCAGCTCAGAGTTTCTTTACTTTTTATTTTGAGACAGAGTCTCACTGAGTTGCTAAATTGCCCAGGCTGGACTTGAACTTGTGCTCTTCCTGCCTCAGCCTCCCTGAGTGCTGGGATTATAGATGTGTACCATCACACCTGACATCTTCTACTTCTTGATGTAATACCTAAGACTTCTTGGTTTGGTGACAAAATAGTAAGCATAGGGTATAAAAAAAAAAAAAAAAGATACATGGGACTCCCTTGTTGTCCCCTCAAGACTTGGAGTCCACATCGTGCCCCACCTTTGCGTGGCGGCCCTTCCCCCGGCCCACGTCTCTTACCTTGGCTCCTGGGCACTTGTGCCTGTCTGCGCTGCTGCTGGGCTCGGAGGTGCTCTGCTCTCAGAAGCCCTCGTGGCTTTTCCATTTTCCTGTGACTCTGTGACATTTAAAAAATGGAGCAAGTTAGAAAATATGAGGGCCAGCCATATAGCTCAGTGGATTAAAGTGCCTGCTTAGGCAGACTCAGAGACTGGGATTCGATCCCCGGCTTGCTGTCGGGGCATGCTGAGAGGGTGACTGAGACTGGGCGTGGTGCGCGCCTGTAATCCCAGCACTTGGGAGGCTGAAAAACAGGAGCATCACTGAGAGTCTAGTCTGTGTAGGGAGACCCTGTAGATCCTGTACTAAATACATTTAAAAAAGAAAGAAAGAAAATATGTCCCTCCCCCTTTGAGCCAATTCCTCTGTGACCAGGGTCATAGCAGTGACGAAGGGAGCAGGGGGAGGAGGACGTGGTGCCGTCTCTGTGGAGACTATAGTCCTGATACAGAACTTTGGCTGAGTGTACACACGCGCCTAGCCCGTGGGAAACAAGAACGCTGATTTGTGTATGCAAGATGTGATCAAAAATGCAATAAATGCTTAACTTCTTAGAGATAATTACATACAAGACACACTGCCATGAATTCCCCCAATACTCTGTCCGGCTTCACACACATGCGCCCATCCTTCCCGTCGCTTCCTGCCGCAGTTCTGACCTTCCCCGTCCTGAGTGTTCTTAGCTGCACTGCCGTGGCTGCCTCCATGACCTGACTGATTCAAACTGTTGATCTTTCCCGGTCATTTTGACTTTGCCAGGAGTTGGATGGTGCCAGACGCGGTGGAAAAGGCCCATGAGGATGGCCCGAGCAGCCTTTCCCGTGGGTGGCAGCCAGCAGCGGCATTCACTCTTTCTCTGACCGCATCTCGTAAAGGCACTCGGGAAAGAGGCACATGCGAGAGACGAGTTCAGAAGAATGAGGAGTATCTTGAGGGGATTAATGCGATGTGTTTTTGACTAAGTTTTGAAATTTCAGTGTTTACCGTGTATTTTGATTGCCCCTTTAAACCTGATTACTGACAGCACGGCAAAAACAACCTGGCTAGTGTCCTGTTTTTTGGGTTTTTTTGTACAGGGAATCAAACTCAGGACCTTGTGCTTACCAGGCAGCACTTGTACCACTGAGCTGTATCCCCCACCCCTGGTTAGTGTCTTAGAGGACAGTAGAGCCTTTGGTGTTACCGTAACTTGTCAGTCTTTTCACAACACATTTTGCTGTGTATGGGTCCTAATTAATACTAAATAGGGCTGGTGAGATAGCTCAGCCATCTAAGTGCCTGTCTAGGCAAGCGCAAGGACCCGGGTTCGATTCCCTGGTACCACATACTGTGACAGCCCTGCCTTGGGTGCACCCAGCTAGCCACCAAGACCAGGCATGGTGGCACACACCTGTAATCCCAGCTCTGGGAAGGCTGAAACAGGAGGATCACTACAAGTCTGAGCTGCGTATTGAGACCCTGTACCAAATACATTTTTTAAAAAAGGATACACTTTTAGCAGATGAAATGGAAAATGCCCTTCCTTGCCCTAGATCCAAGCCCCACCTTGAGATCCTGGAGCCTATTTTCTTCAATTTAAGTTAAATTTAGCCTTTCTCACCCCCCAGGGCTAGGTATGGGGCCCAGGCCTTCCCACATCTGGGCAAGCATCTACCACTGAGCTACACCCTTGGCCCCTTTAGTTTAAATTTAAATGTAAAAACTGATTCCTGATTCTGTGATTGGAAAACTCCTAGGGATATTTGGAACACTTTGCAAATATAAATCTTGCCTGACTGTACATTTTATGAAATCTAAATCCAGATCAAGTATTTCCAATGAAAATGTGGTGAGCCAATTGGGCAGGCCTACAATATAAAATGCTCAACAGATTTCAGACTTAGTGTAAACAAAGGTCCTAAAATAGTTCACTGATAATTTTTGGGTTGGTAATTACACAATACAATGATAATATTTTGGCTATCTTTTCTTTCTTTCTCTCTCTCTCTTTTTTTTTCTTTGTTTTTTATTTTTTTGAGCTAGGGTCTTGCTATGCAGTTCAGGCGGGCCTTGAATTCACTTTGTAACTTTGGCTGGCCTTGAACTTACAACTGTCCTCCTGCCTCAGTCTCCCGAGTGCTGGGATTCCAGGTGTGCACCATCACACCCGGCTCTTTCAGTTTTTTGAGACAGGGTCTCACTATGTGATGCAGGCTGAACTCACTATGTAGCCCAAGCTGGTCTCAAACTCACAGTGGTCCTCCTGCCTCAGCCTCTTGAGTGCTGGGATTACCCATTTATAGTTTTCTAATGTGGCCACAGGAAGTTAAATATGTGCAGTGTGGGGCTGGTGAGATGGCTCAGTGGTCTAAAGCACCTACTTAAAACAAGCTTAGCAAAACACAGGGACCGTGGTTCAATCCCCCAGCGCCACATGCCAGCCAGCCCCACCCCCTGGTGGGCTGAGCTGACCACACACACACACACACACACACACACACATAAATAAAAATTTTTTTAAAAAAATATGTGACTGCACAGCCTAGGACACCCTGGGGAAGCCCTTGTGGGAGCACCAGAAGGGGCTCATTGTTTGCCACACAGCCTATGGTGCAGACACCACTATGAGATCGTGGCTCCTCAGGGGCAGAGATTCTGTCTTTGTGTGCATGGGTGTCCTCGTAACTCCCCACCCGTGCACCGTCTCAGCCAACTCAAGAATGGAGAGGGAACACAGCACCAGCCACCCAGCCTTCCGTGTGCTGGCTTCCTTGGTCCTGGACTCAGGGTTCTGCAGCACCCGTAGGAGATCGCAGAAACCACAATCCCCAGGGCAGCCAGCTCCCCGCCCCTTCTCTGGGCTGGCCCAGGCGCTGCTCTGACCAACACAGCAGGGCAGGTGGCCATGGAGTCCTGCATCTAAGCCCCCACGGCCCAGAGGCCTCTCCCTGGCTGGAGGCCAGAGCACCAGGCAGCAAGGCTGGCATCTACGTGCCTTCTACCCGCCGGGCCACTGGCTGACCCTGGAGGTAAGACAGGCTGGCCGGACAGAGGAATCACCACCCAGCCCCGGGATCGCCAGTGAGACCAGAGCTCATTGTCGAAAGTCTCTTTGTAATTAGAAGGAACCTGGTCCTGCCATGAAACTTGTACCATGCAAGGCTCAATGAGCCAGCCGTGATGCCTCCAGTATGCTGCAGGCAGCTCACGGGCTGGCGGCTGCGGCCGACCCCGGAGCTGGGAAACTGTCTCGCCTGCCCTCTGCAGACCCAGCTGGCTGCCCACGCAGCCCTGGGGGAAGCCTCAGGAAGGGGACTGTAGCTCTGATGTGCCCCACTGCTAAAAGTTTCTGAATTTTATTCTGCTCAGTAAATACATACAGTGTGAATGGTTTTTCTGTGTCATTAGGGATTGAACCCAGAGCCTTCAGCATGCTAGGCACGCGTTCTACCACAGAGCTACATTCCCAGGCCTTTAACTTTATTTTATAAGTACTTCAGGATAAAGTCCTATTAAGCTGCCCAGCTGGCCTTTGAACTTGCAACCCTCCTGCCTCAGCTTCCTAAGTAGTTGGTATCATAGGTAGGCACCGTGCCTGACCCCTCAGACATATTTTGAGCTGATAACATGTGCTAGAAACTGGTGTAGATGTTTAAGGCGTCCTGGTGTGAAAATATGCCAAGATTTTAATGTCAATTATTTTCAAAACAGCTGAAGATCTGACATTCACAGGGACAAAGAAGGGCAGGTGAGAAATACAGGGTCCCCTGTGATGCAAATGTGGATGGCCCTACCCCCCACCTCTGCATGACAGCTGGGAGAGGTGGGCTGCAGCTTTTTTACCAAAGCCTGTCTTACTGTATAACCTGAGAATAGCGACATCCCACTAGGGAACTCTGAATGCCTCAGAAAATGGCTTCAAACCATCCTGCCCTGTGGGACCTGTCCCTGGTCATTTTCAATGCCATTTATTCTCTTTCATGTAGCAGGAACCTTTCAGCCCTAATAACTCCACCTCGATATAAAGGCACAGCTGTGCCAGCCGTCCCCGGGGCTGACCTGCCGGGCGGGTGGTGGTCCGGTCTGAGGCACCTCGGGCCTTGGCTTGGCTTCTGTGTCTCACGGCGCGATTGAAGATGGAGTTCCTCTGGAGCGGGATATGGCAGCGGTATTCTTTGTCTTGGATGTCCTGGTCATCGCAGGGAGTCTCCTCTTTTCCTGAGAGTGACTCAGGCCTGGCTGTGGCCAGCTCAGCATTGGTTCTCCGTGAGACACTCACCGATTTTCTCTGGGGCTCTGCCAAGCCTTCAGATTCTTTGGTCTCCATGGAGATAGACCTAATGGTTTCTCAGCAGAAAGACGAGAGGGCAGTAACCTCCCTGGGCTCCACCAGATCAGAGGGCTTTAGAATAGAAAGAGAACAATTTTCAGTTAGAGTTGTCAGGCTAAACGCTCCATTCAGAGTATGGAATTATACTCCCATTTGGGTTTGATGAAATTTGGGATAATCTGCATATCCGGCCAACCACATCTTTGTCAAGGAAAATTACAGCTTAACCACTGTAATTTGGGTGCATTCATGTATCATTTTATAATTGAAGCTTGTTTATACTATTCATAGGATGCACTTTGGGAGAAACGTGGAAAGTGCTCTGCATAACTAACTTTGAAGTAAACAGTTCCTGAATAATTCTAGAGACAGAGTAGCAGAAAGTGACAGAATTCAGGAACATACCGTGTATGTGAAGACACAGGAGGAGGAAAGGGGACAGCAGCCAGCGACCACGGTCAGGACATTATAGATGTGTGTGTGTGAGCCCCACAAGGACGCCTCTTTTGCTGTTAGCAGCGGGTATGGGGAGCACATGTCTAATTGGATTGAGGACCTCTTTGGTAGAACCATGTGTCACATTGGGGACAACAAAGCACCCACCCCCCCGGCCGTCTTCTTGGGATGGAGTCACAGAATAGTGACTTCCCTCTGGTGTGACTTCTAATACATGATCCCCATGGGGACACTTGTCATGGGAGAAAGGGGTGCAGTAGGGACAGCCCAGGATTGGGTAAGCAAAGCAATCTCCTACCATGGACCTCCTCCCAGGGTGCGGACTTTGACGAAGTGGACCCTTGGGGTGAGCTGTCAGCTGGGGGACAGCGTGCCAGCCAGAAGCCAGCCAGGGATTCTGTGGCTTCTCACCCAAGGGGTTGGAGCCTGAGGTCACAGTGACTGGAAGTCTAGGGGGTACAGAAGTGGCACACAAAGGCAGTGTGGGGGCCGGGGAGATGGCTCAGTAGAATAAGCGCTTCCCTGGCAAGTGCAAGGGCCTGACTTCAATTCCCGATTCTGAAAAACAAACAAACAAACAAACAAAAAAAAAAAACCAAAGGTGGTGTATGTTGGAAGCCATGATTTCTGGGTGACAGCTGAAACCTCTGCTGTGCTCAAGGGCATCAGAGACTCAGAAGCTCTAGAGAAGCACGTCTTCTGAAAATGGGGAGAGCCATGTATCCTTTTATAATCGAGGCTTCCCAATGCACCCCACTTCTTCCCAGCCCCTCTTCTTCCAGCTCAGCCTCATCTAGTCTGAGGGAAGCAGGCAAGTTAGGGACATTGGGAGAGTGGGTTGCCCACGCAAGGCAGCAGGGGACCGGAAGACTACCTGTATCTTTGGCTGTGCTGTCTGACCTTGCCTTGTAGAATCAGCCAGGCTCAGGTCAGCAGCCCTCAAATGGCTGGGAGAGGCCTGCTAAGGAGGGGGCACTGGCTGAGCATATACCAGTGAGGGATGTTGCTTTGGTTTATGTGCAAACCACGTGTATGGTTTAGGACCATTAAGTCCCATCCAGCTGGAGAGGCCAAAAAGTCACACTGAGGTTGGATAATTAGTACCTCCACCCTCCCTGGAGCATCCGGAAGGACGCAGCTTATCATAAATGTGACAGCGTCATGGGGGGGGGGGTTTCATCAACAGTGAGTCCGACCTGAGCTGACACAGAACTTGGTCACAATAACTAAACTGTTCCTTAGCCACACAGGAGAACAGAGAGAGCAGAGAGCATGGAGGATTGTGGGAGCCCTAGCCAGAGATGTGTGGGGCTCAGTGTCCCTTCTAAGGGCTGGTGTCACCCAGGGTGGCAGGTGAGCACCAACAAGGCCAGTCAAGGTGAGGAAGACAGGGGTCTGAGACTGTGGCTCTGGGAAGAGCAGGAGCTTAGCTGGGGGTGGTCAGGGTAATAGGGCAGTGGTCAGGGAGGTGGGAGCAAGCAGGGTCAGGGGATTGCAGAGTGGGGGATGTTTTTAGTGCCCCTCTGAGTTCTGATGCACACATACAGCTTGTGGAAGACCACCTTCACAAGGCAGGAAAGGCCCAACTCAAGGACCTCCCTTGTTCCTACTGTCACCTGCCCCAGTGTAAGGAGACCTTGGCACCCCTGGTCTGTGAGCTTCCCACCCACTGCCTCCTCCAGAGGTCACAGAGGGGGGCTGGGTGGGAGGTAGGGTCTGTGGCATGCTGTGTTGCAGGTGCTGGTCAGCCCCACGATGCAGCATCCCCAGGGGATGAACTGCTGAGTGCTCTGAGTAGGGTCGGGGGACCTGGGTCTGAAGCCCCAATCCCCAGTGCCTGTAACTGTTTGTAGCACCAGGCATGGTAGGCCTTAGCTTCTTGAACAGGGCACAGTGGTGGTGCTATTCCTGTGGCTCCTGCTGGCTGTCTTGTTCTGTGACCCAGGGATGCTAAGAGCAATGCTCCCCACATGACAAGAGTGGCTCGAGCCACCCCAACCATTTCCTTTAAATGAGGAGGCTCTAAACCCCAATGGAATACATTCTCAAATCTTATCATCTTTAAGACCATCTCTCTCTCTCTCTCTCTCTCTCTCTCTCTCTCTCTCTCTCTCTCTCCTCTCACTTGCATGTGCACACACACACACACACACACACACACACATTCAGATGAATACTATAACTTGTAACATCTGAAAAACTACTTCCACTTCAATTATTGACTATTTCAGGCAAATATGTCCATAGTCTAGAATATTTTTATAATTGCTTCAATTCTAGTGTATCCATTAACTGCTGGAAAACTTATCAGCTCCACCCCACCCACCCAATCTTTCAGTGTTTCCTTTAAATTCATTGGTAGCCCTAAACTCCTTGTTTTGCTGAGCCAAAGGTAAACTGAGGTGGAAGAAAAATGGGGACAATTTTGTGATCAGAAGTAGGGATGGAGCTTAGGGTGAAGCCATATTTGTATAGCATATCTGTCCATCTATCCACCCACTTGCCCACCCATCTATCCATCCATCCATCCATCCACCCACCCACCTACTGATCCATTCATCCATCCACCCACCCACCTATCCACCCACCCATGTGTCCATTCATCCATCCATCTATCCATCCATCCGTCCATCCACCCACCTGCCCACCTGTCCATCCATCCATTCACTAAGCACCTGCTAAGCTGTGATGTGTCTTTGTTTTACATCCCTCCACATTTCTTGCTCTTGTAGAGCAGGACTTGGGCCATTTGGCTCATGGCCACCCCTGCACCAGGCACTCAGCAGCACCCTGCAAAGCTCTGTTGTCCACAGTGGGTGAACGAATGTATGGAAGACATTAGTTAAGCCCATAATCCCTGTGTGAAGCCCACACTGGACTTAAACTTTGCTTTGCAGCCTGAAAGCTGCAGCCTGAGTGTTCCACGTGGGCCTGCCAAGGAATGGTGAGCCCGGGGTCACACCCATCTGTCTGACTCATCCCCAGGAGATGTGGTGCAAAGAAGGCCGTCCAGCTACTGGCTGTAGATGGGCTGATGAATCAGACAGGAGCGGCCTTCCCTTTGGCCCTGGGTGATGTGTGGCTCAGGCAGGAGCCAGAGGGGCACTCAGGGCTTCAGCTCGGGGCCGAGGGTTGGGGACTTTTCAGTGAGTCTGTGGCTTGGAGACAGGGGCACACAGGGAAGGTGGTTGGAGGGGCTAGTGGGGACCCCAGGCCAGCTGCCACCTCACCCCAGCACAGCGGGCAGGGAGGCAGGGCTCCTACACTGTGCTTTCCAGATTTCTAAAGGCACAGATGCCTGGGGCTCTTCCTGAAACCTGGTTCTGACTCAGGAGTTCTGGGTGAAGCAAAAACTGACTTCTGACAAGTGCTGGGAGGAACCTTGCTCTGCTGGCCATGGGTCCCCAGGTGGGACATGGGGCCAGATAGCATGGCCTGAAAGAGCACAGGACAACAAGGGTGAATACAGGACAGCAGGAAGGCTTGACTGCAGCCCAAGCAGCCTCCTAGGGACAAGGGGCTTGTGGAGGGAACACGCAACCCTCAGGCTTCCTGAGGAGAAGCAGGTAGCCTGCCACTCCTCGGGCTCCTCCCAGCCCCGCCCTGCCTACCCCCCCCACCCCCGCACTGCGAGGTCTTTCTCAGCCCTGAAGGTCTAAGGTGGCTCAGCCTCCAGCAGGTGAAGGGCAGGGTTTGCCATGGGCTGCTAACAACACCGCCTTCGCATTCCCTCCTGGATCAAAGAGCAGAGGCCCGAGCCAGTCAGGATTTCAGGCAGCCGCAGAAGAACCGAGGAAGTATCGGGTGTGGAGAAGCTGGCGAGGCCCCTCTGTGGAGCTCTCTGTGGGGGAGATGGCCCAGGCTCTGCGCATCACAAACGGAATTGGACCGGGTGACCTCAGGAGGCAGACCTGTCCCTGTCTCTGTCCTTCAGCAGCCACTAGTTCTGTGTTCTGGGCACAAGCCAAGGGGGCGGTTTAAGAGGGACAGCCAGATCCTGGGAACCTCAAGGGCAGAAAATGGAACTGGGGAGCAGGTGGGGAGGGCAGGGGCCATGGAGTGAGGTACACGGAGGACAGCAAAGAAGGACCCGATCAACCCCATGTCCTGTACATGGGACAGCCTGGGGCTTGGGAGATAGAGGGGAGGGTCCTGAGGCTGTGACAGGAGGTTGGGCATTTGAGGTCCATCCCTAGGCCTAGAGCAGCAGTGGCTTGAGGGGACGGTGCCCAAGGGGATGGACAGAGATGCCCTAGAACTGCAGCAGGTGAGGATGGCAGCAGGAGCCCAGAGAGGAACCTGGTTTTCCTTAAGGATGTGGGACTAGAGCCCCGGGAAAGGAAGCAGGAGTTTGAGGGCGAGGCTGCCTGACTGTGCATTTGTGGAGAAGCTGGCTCGGAAGTGCTCCGCTGACAGGTCCAGCCTAGGCTGGCAGTCACTGGAAGGTGACCTTGAAGGTTACGTATTAACTACAGCAGTAACTCACAGATCACCGTCTCAGAACAAGAACATGAGGGTTCACATCTAGACGTCCCCTAAGAGCCTTAGGTGACCATAGGTGGGGCTTTTCGAGGGCGACAAGATGAGGGTGTTCAGAGCCCTCTGAGGAGGTGGGG